AAGTACGGAATATATAAGGCATCATCATCGCTGCGTTTTCTTTTCGCAACGATCGCTTCTTTTTCTTCCCGATCTTTTTTTCTTTTCGCAACGACCAGAGAAAACGCTTCTTTTTCATCCCGATCTTTCCGAATATTTTGCAAGAACGGACGGATCCGGAAGGGGACAATAGGCTCGGCATCGCAACCGCGATATATCTACGCAACGATATCGATCGTTCCTTTAGCAAATAACGCCCACGCGTCGTAAACGTCGCTCGGGGACGGGGACGTCACGCGGGATATACGGTAGTTTGCGAAACGTGTGCATAACGCGACGCGATCCCGCGGCGATTGCCGGTGGGGTCGTTGGCTTATTGACACATAAAAGCAATTAGCGATATGACTGGCGCTGACACGTCGCAAGATAAGATCCCTCGGAAGATCGGGCGTCGTCGCGACACATGCAGGTGCGGAAGATAGGGAGACGTTCGTTTTAATACTCGAGTTACGACTACGACCCGCGCGGAACAATGCGACGCGCGCGCGTTGCCCGGCCGTTTACGTAACAGCTAAGCGCCGACCGTCCCGAGGCTGTTCCTTCCTCTTTCCTACTTTTTTTTTTATCATCCGACATTGATAAACATATTTGTTCGCCTCTGACGTCATAAGTCAAACCGTATTCCCGCGACTAGAGCGGATCGGCTCTCGCGGCGGTCAATCCGCCTGCCGGAACGAAGATTCCCGCGTACGTCGCGGGCGGCACGAAAAAAGACCAATCTATCTCGACATATATACAGGCGTCGAGAAATAAAGATTCGCGTTATTTCCTCGCGGAGCTGACGTCACAATTGTGTTTTTGTGTTCATAACGACGCGGCTGCGGAGGAAACGAGAGAGAGCGCCTCGAAAGAACGTCCGAGCTCTTTCCGGGGGGGATAGCGGAGTTTAAATTTTAAATCTCTCGAGTAGAGAGCGACGCTTATCGTTTTCTATCGCGACGGTATAGAATAAATTACGTATATCTTTGTGCGTAGTCTCGCCGCGCGAGTGTCTGTTATCTCTGTCGCAAAAAAAAAAAATTGGAAATGCAATGTAAACGATTACAGCGCGATACAAGCTTTGCCGCGCGAGAGAACTCGCCACGCGCGCGCTCCGCTCGCGTTGTCGAGCAAACGGCGTAAACGCTCGAGCGAAGCCACACGTGTCTTAATCCCTGTGTCTTGTCCGTGTTATTTCGCGGTAAGCATATGTGCTCTTCCAACGGCAGCATTATATACGGAGATCGTTCAATTTTTCACGATAGAGATGAAAATTTTTCTCTTCCGCTTTTCACGCGCTTTTGGCACGGGACTCTGGCAAAAGTACAACGATCGATTTCGACGAAAATGCGCGTCACCGAAATATCGGTCATTGCGGAAAATGTGTGCGAAAATGCGCGCCACGAAGTCCGTGTGTGGTCTCGCGAGAAAGATTTGGTGCCACCGCACCGATGAGATTTGTCGAACGAGCCCCGTTTGTGCCGCATGCACGAGCAAATCGCTTTCTTTTTCACCGAACGCTCGCTATTCTGGTCAACTTTCCGTTACCCAGTCGCGGCACGTATACGGCCAGATATTAGAAATCTCACGGCGCGGCGCGCCGCGGCATCGCCGACCGAATCCCGTCCGACTTTCGTGCAGCGGCCGCGCGGCCGGTCCTCGCTCTATTCCCCATTTTCGTGCTTTCGCGGAGAGTGAAAATGTAATCGACGTGTTCCGGAAACGCCGATGAAGAGCGGGGAACGACGATAGGGCGCGCGCGTCCTCCGTCCAATACCCGCAGATAAGCGTTATCGCGCTCGAATCGCGAGCGGATCCTCGCCCAGGCTGCTCCGTCTAATTAAGAGCGACCGAGAGAAGATCCGTTTCCATTTCCTTTTCCATTGTACCAATCCTCGTCCTTCCCTTCCTCTACTCCGCTCGATCGCGCTCTGTCTCGGTTTCGAGGAAAGCGCGATGGAAAACGACGGGGGAGAGAACGGAGAACGGCGCGGGCCCCGGCTCTCGATTTCGTTCATCGATTCGCGGAAACCAATTTAACAATGAGACGCGATTTGGTAGTTAGATCCGCGTCGACTTTCGCGGCAGCGCGACTCCGAGAGATGCGAGACACGGCGGCAAATCGAGGCCGTTTACCGGCAGGAAATAATCAGTCGGATACACATGCAGCATGCGTTACGCGTAACCTTGCACTTGCAACAATGTTGCGCATGTCGCGCGCACGCGGCGCGACGCGGCGCGGCGCAGCGCGGCGCTTCGCCTTCGCTTTACCGCGCCGCGCGCTCCGCTCCGCGCTCCGCGAGACCGAGAACGATATCTACAAATGCTTTATCGCGGGGTATCTTCCTCTACGTCGCTAATATCGATGTGGCCACTCGATCAAGGCACGGTCGGCCGTTGTAACGTTTCATTTTCAGAGAAAAAAAAGAAAGCGGAGATAGATAAATGCCGCGCCGATCGCGTTCGTCGGTCGTACGCGCCCGTGCCCCCTCGCCGCGAATTTACGCAATCTCGTCCTACATCGTTATTGTCCGTGTGGAACTTAATCGAATCCCCGGGGATCGTGTTTCCTCCTCGCGGAGAATTTATCCCCGTTTTTCGCGCTGCTCTCTCACGCGAGGAACGCCGCCAATTTCGGAGCAACAAAGACGCGCGTCGTTCCCTATTCTCAGCGCGGCGCGCCGCCGTCGGCTTAGCCCGGGGTCGATTCACGATTTTTTCGGTTTTACATACGAAAGGAGCCCCCCTTTACGCGCCGTGTTCACCTGCACTCGCGTTCTCGCGTCACCGGTATTTCCAGGTGGTCAACGTATAAAATATATATTTTTAATTCCGTCGTCGAGCGCAAAGGACGCGTGACGCGTTTCCGTGCCGGAGGAATTGTAAATAATAATGCGTCGCCTCGGTGACGCCGCCGGGCGGCGAATCGAAATACAGCGAGCGCGTGCCTTCACGGATTGTCGGCCCTACGCTTTAATAGTTTAATAAGTACCGTGCGCTGACCAATTGCGCCACTGTGGAGCACCTTGTCGGCCCTACGCAAATAATAAATAAATAAATAGAAGTATATATATATATAATTTAATTCCGATTAAAGTTTCAGCGACGCGGTACCGAACCTGTCACGACATCTCGACGCGCCTGGTTTTCGGCGAGTCCCATTGAGTTCAACGAGTTCCATTCAACGCGCTTCGAGGTAGAATCCTGTCGGAATACCCTCGTGCATCTAATCGTCCTGTCCTTCCGCTCCTTCGCTCCGTCTCCCTCTCTCTCTCTCTCTCTCTCTTTCTCGTAGGGTCCTGACGCGTCGCGTATTTACATATCGCAATTTCGCGATATTAAAACCGGAGAGCTACAAGTACAAACGCCGGTCGCGGCGTGCCGAGACTGTCGAGTACCTACCTTTTGCGAGACAAAAACGACGGCGGTGACGGTGGCCGAGGGGTCGCACTTGGCCGTCGGTAGGTTTCCGCGCGACTTCCGCGCGAAGGCCGGGATTCCAACGAGGATCCTTCCCTCCGCTCCGCTCGGCGCTCGCCGCTCCGTGTCTCCCGCGTACCTTGTACCTTCTCTCTTTCTTTCCCTCGCGCGTGACGCCGCGAAGACGCGCTCGCGGCAGCGGCACACCGGGGGCCACGGGCCACGGGACCGACACCGGGGTATGTAACGCGCACGAATTTTCGAAGCGGCGCTTCTCGACGTGGCGCTGGTCGACCGACGGTGAACTCGAGGCCGGAGACCGTCGGGGAGTGGGGAAAAAAAAAAAAGAGAGGAGAGGCGAAGAGGCGTCGTCGACGCCTGTCGTCGGCGCGTCCTTGGCGCGGCGGCAGCGCGGCAGCACGTCGTCGCGTCGCGTCCGGCGTCGTCGTGTAGGAGTTGCGTGGCGCGGCGCGGCGTGGCCGTGGCGTGGCGTGACGCTTCCAGCCAGCTTCCACGGCGGACTGCCGGACTGCCTGCACTGGGCTGTGAGCCGGCTGATAACCGACACATTGACGGGGCGAGACCGCCTGTTTAAGGAACAACCGACGCGCTTCGCCTACGGGTGTCGCGCTAGCTCGGCGGAGAAGGAAAAATGCGCGGCGAGGCCGCGGGCCGCGCCGCGCGCTAACGCCCTCTCGGCAACCGTCGCGGCCGCGACGGTAAGCAGCAAGCCAAAATCAGGCCCATTGGTAATCGCACGATAATCGCGAGGAGCGCGATTTTGAAATTTGGAATGACGACTTTGACCGAGCTCCGATTATAATTTGATCGATTGAATCCAGTTTTTCTCTGATCCGATATCCCTTTAATCTTTTGTGTGTCTACTGTCTTTCTTGTATCTTTTTTGGGCCGATATCACAGTCTCCGATTAACGTAATCCTCCGATTAAACTGTGATATCAGCTTTTTGTCTTTTTATTTAAGCTTCATTAAACAGCCGCGTGTTCTTTTAAGTTTCGAAAAAAAAAATGAATCTTTTCCGTCGTATACAAATCGAAGCGATTGCATTGATTTACTCCGAAAATCGTAAACTTTTTAAATCGATTTTTTTTTTGTAAAATAGCACGACGTTTAAAATACATTTTAATTATAATGATCTCGCGATTAAGGACTTCGACCAAGTCCTAATTTATTCTTATTAAAGTAATACCTTGCGCCGCCGTTTTGTTAACATAAACAGAGAGTTGATAACTTTTTGTAATTTTCTGTTGCTTATTTCGAATTGAAGAGAGAGTTTGTCGCAGATTTAAAAAATCCCCGATTTTTGGAGTAAAAATATCAATGCAGTCGTTTCGACTTGTACGCGACGCGAAAGATTTATTTTTTGGAGCGAAAGAACAAGCGGCGTTCAACGAAGCTTACTTAAATAAAACACAAAAAGATTAAAAAAATTTTAAATTAATATCAAGTGTAATATTTGCGTCCGTAGCAGAGAACGTGGCTGTTTCCCATCGCGTAAAGAATAAAACTCTTTCCATTAGATATACCCATAAGCTTTTTGATCTTTTGTATTCTGATAACAATAGTCGCATTTATAAGCTTGAAAAGAACACGAGACACGCGCCTCTAAAATTGGCGGTACTTGTTGCAATCTACCTCTTTTAATTGGAAAAAAAAACCCCCCCGAAAAGGAATCTCTCTATTCTGAAACAGCTGTCCGCTCCGTAAATTAAAGTTCTCACTCTCCTTCACGGAAAGCTACATGCGAAGACGTGCGTTCTGCTTCTGCGCACGTGTCGTCTACTCGTCTGACGAAACGTGGAGAGGGAGGAGGAGTTCGGAATAGAGGACTTCCATACTCGTATCGAGCGAGCAAGAGAGAGAAAGAGGTAGAGGGAGAAATGGGGAAGGCGTAGCTTGCGCCGTGCGCGTGCTGTCAAAAAATATATACATCGGCGTGCACGGGGCTCCTCGGAGCACTTCAGAGCGCTTCGCAGATAACAGGAATCTCCTCTCCCTCCCCGTCGCTTCTCCCGCGCGCCGCTCTTGTGTCCGCGATTTCACTTGCATTGCGGTCCCGGATCGAACGAGGAAACGAGGAGCGATCCCGAGCCTCGTCCAAGTCTCCTGCGTCGAGATCGGCGAGTCGACGAGCATCGCCCCCTTTTCCACCGAGTCGCGATGAATGGCCGGACGATGATATGACTCGTGAAATTCGACGCGACGCTCCACTCGGGTCACCGTGACGAGGATTCGTCCCCCCGACCCCCGACGGCTAAGAGCCGCACAGAGTTCCTTCCCGAACAGCTGAGAATCGGTCGAAATGGAGTCGGCGGGAGTCAGCGGGAGTCAGAGCCAGCCGCCCAATAACATGAATGACGGTTCCGACACCAAGGGCAGGCGAGTATCTCATTATCTTTTTTCGTCCCGCGATGGATTTGTGTTGGATTTCTTCTGGGATAAAAGAAGAGTCTCTCATCTTCTTTGCTTTTGCACTTTGCTCCGTTAAATCTAGTCGACAATAAGCTTGGCGGGGAAGCTCAATGGAAACTGCTCTGTAAATCGGAATTGTAACTGCGCGTCTTTTGTCGTTACAGCTGTTTGTTGCTACGCTATGCCAGCCAAAATTCTCTGGATGAAAGCTCGCAGAAGCATATTCCTCGTGAGAACGGGAAGGACAAGCCACCATACCGGAATCACCATCACACGAATCGAGCCTTCGACGTCATCAATGAGATGAGAAAGTACATATCCTTTGTTTATCAATTTTAATGTATCGTTCAATGTTTAGCTTTGTTGAACCTTGTTTAGATGTATCGCATCTTTGAAAAATATATATATACTTTAGGCATTGTTATTTATGTTTATTATATATATTGCGTTACCAGATGAGATCATTTAAATAACGTGCTATTATCGTTTAGGAAAAACTTACTCTGCGACGTCATTCTGGTAGCGGACGGTGGCATGGAAGTGCCGGCTCACAAAATGGTCCTCGCTGCGTGCAGTCCCTACTTTTATGCCATGTTCACGAGTTTCGAGGAGCGCGATCAACAAAGGATAACGTTGCAAGGCGTGGATTATTCGGCGTTAAAGTTATTGGTGGATTACGTTTACTCCGCCGAGGTTCACGTCACCGAGGATAACGTGCAGGTGCTCCTACCTGCTGCAAATTTGTTACAACTGACGGACGTACGAGATGCCTGTTGCGATTTCCTACAGGCTCAGTTGCATCCGTCTAATTGTCTCGGTATTAGGGCGTTTGCCGATTTGCATGGATGCCTCGAGTTGTTGACGCACGCGGACAGTTACATCGAGCAGCATTTTTCGTAAGTCGCACATCTCGAGTCCCGATCCATTCAGTCAGATTGTATTATGCCGTATTAATTGTATTTTTTAACATCAATTGTAGGGAAGTGGTCGATGCGGAAGAATTCTTAACTCTGGCACCCGAACAAGTGGCTAAACTTATCTGCAGCGACCGCTTAATGGTACCTTCCGAGGAGAAAGTATTCGAATGCGTTATCTCATGGGTACACCACGATCTCGAAAAGAGACAAAACGATTTGGCTCTGTTAATGGAGCACGTGCGCTTGCCTTTGCTCTCTCAAGAGTATTTGGTACAACGTGTGGAAGAGGAACCGCTTCTCAAGGCGAATTTGCAATGTAAGTTTGCTATTACGATGTATACGCTAAAAGAAGATATATTGCATATTCCTTAATTTCCGCAGGCAAGGATTTCTTGATCGAAGCTTTGAAGTATCACTTACTGAAGGGTGAGCAAAAGTCGCTGTTCAAAACGCCGCGTACCAAACCGAGACAACCGAGAGGACTACCCAAAGTATTACTTGTTGTCGGTGGCCAAGCACCAAAGGCGATCAGGAGCGTCGAGTGCTTTGACTTTAAAGAGGAAAAGTGGTATCAAGTTTCTGAGCTACCAACGCGACGTTGCAGAGCCGGTAAATAGCGCTGATCAATTTGCGACTTGGCAGAATCGTTCTCTTTTCTTCCTGTAAAGTATGCAATGACTATGCGTTGAATTATAGGACTCTGTGTTCTCGCCGGACGCGTATACGCTGTCGGTGGATTTAATGGATCACTGAGAGTACGAACGGTCGATATTTATGATGCCGCGGCGGATCAATGGTCACCCTGCCCGGAGATGGAAGCGAGGAGATCGACGCTCGGTGTAGCCGTGCTTGGCAACTGCGTTTACGCTGTACGTTGTTACATTCTCCTCTTTGCATTTTATGTCCTTCATCGATGTGAATTTTTTCTCTAGCGTATCTGAAATTTAAAAAATTTCAATTAGAAAATACTGTTTTTTTCTCTCTGTAATAACCGATATTTTACGTGTACATATAGGTCGGTGGCTTCGATGGTTCGACGGGATTAAATTCGGCTGAAGTTTACGATCCACGGACTCGCGAATGGAGGCCTATAGCACGAATGTCAACGCGCCGTAGTAGCGTAGGAGTCGGCGTTGTCAAAGGATTGCTCTACGCCGTAAGTTTATATCAAGTATCGTTACTTCGAAGACGATCTCGTCCGCGTTTAACGTAGAGAGATGCGATTAGGTTGGCGGCTACGATGGAGAATCTCGGCAATGTCTCTCCAGTGTCGAGTGCTATAATCCAGAGAAGGATCAATGGAAACCTGTACCTGAAATGTCCGCGCGTCGTAGTGGTGCGGGTGTCGGTGTCCTGGATGGTATTTTATACGCGGTAGGAGGTCACGATGGTCCACTGGTACGAAAAAGCGTAGAAGCATTCAATCCGGAGACGAATCAGTGGACTCCTGTCAGTGACATGGCGTTGTGTCGTCGTAATGCCGGTAGGCGACTACTTTTTTATATATATTTTCTCCTTTTTTTCACGTTAATCTCTTATCGTGCAGAAAAAGACATAAATACTATGTCAAACAGGTGTCGTGGCGTTGAACGGACTTTTGTACGTGGTGGGTGGAGACGACGGTTCCTCCAGTTTGGCATCGGTAGAGGTGTATTCTCCAAGGACCGATACCTGGACTACTCTACCGACTTGCATGGGCGTTGGGCGTAGTTACGCAGGTGTGGCGATCATCGATAAGCCAATGGCCCCCGCAACGACAATGTGAGGTCTACAATCCGCTGGGCATGCGACGGAACAAAGCACGGACCTGGGTGCCGAGATATCGGACTCCTCGCGGGAAGCCGGGCCCAGCGGTATGCAAATACAAAATCGCGGCGCCAGCCATAATTGTCAAGGCCCGCGTTGCGTTTGTCAGAGATATGAGAACGGCGAATTAGCCGCGGTAATAATGAATCAAGGCAGAAATAATCAGGAAAGGGAGGACGGCTATCAAAACGTGGGTCATGTCGCGCGTGTCTTTCAGAATCGTCCCAACAACGGCACGCTACAGATACATCCGAATCTGAATCCAAATTATCAAAATCCGATTGATTTAATACGCAATTACAATCGTCGACTACAACAGCAACCACAGCAACAACAACAGCAGCAGCAGCAAGGATCGGAAGAAAACATTTACGAGCGTTTGGACAATGACGATGATGAAGACGACGATGAAAGCGCGGAGGTCCCACGAAATGAATCGCTAGCGCAAAACAATCAGGGTAACATAGATAATCATATGTACGAACGAATAGGCGAGCGAATATCGTGTAGCAGTAGAACGCATTGTCATTATTACAAGTATCACGTACCTGCTCATAGTTTTTTGAACGACGTGGAAAGTGCAAGAAATGTGAGCCAATACGATCAACCAAGACACATCTACATCGATTATTCTCGATTGAGTAGTAACATCCACCAAAGCTCTTTAAGTAGATTAGGCCGCAATTGCTTCTCCACGGAGAATATCGCATACGCTTCTACGAAACGCTCCCTTCATCCAATTGTGTACAATTGCACGTGCCACTACTGTAGAAACGTGGACGCGAGATACATGTGTCACCACTGTCACAATTTGTATAACAGATTACGATATCAAGACAATGCCGCTAACTCCAGGCATTACGTGTACCAAGTTTCAAGAAACTGCAGGTGCCCCTTTTGCCGCGGCGAATACTCGTACGCCAAGTTCCCCGCTCTTCGCGCCGCTGAACTGTTGAAAATGGAAGGTTGTCACTGTAGGAATCCAGCTAATTGCACCTGCCGCAGTAAAGTCCCGTCCGATCCGAATTCCACGATCTACATCGGACGATACTTGGATTGGATTAATCGGGCCGGACAGTCCGTTAACAATCCTCTATATGCCATGATTCACGTCGGTAGGATGGATCGTCCTTCCATGTCCGGCCACGGGAATGCGTCTAACGGTGGAAACGGTGCTGATCCGGGCCCTTCGACGTCGTCGGGCAACGCGACATCTAATGCAAGATTCAACGAGCCGAGTTCGTCTTCAGTTTTGCGATCGGTGTTCGCCCCCGGCGCTTCCACGTCGAACGCCCCTATCTGTCCCGTAAATCGCTACGTGGAACATCAGCATACCTGCGACGATTCCTGCATCCGCAGCCAAAGCGGTAGTCTGACCGGAATATGTCAGTTTCTCGGCAGATGCGAGAGAACGGAGTGCAATCATGGAAGGCTCTCCGTACACTGGTGGTTCGTGAATAAATGGCTTCCTCTCTGGAATTCCCACAATCTCGATAGAAACGTGGACGGCGCGCCAAGCGTGGATGAAATATCACGGGAACAGCGAGAGAGCGACAGCGATGATTCTTAAAATCGTTAAGAATCTGATTATCATGAGAGAGTGCCTGTTTTTTGCGTATTCCGAACATTTAATGCACATGTTCCATTAATTTTTATTATACATGATGCGATTATGCTTTTGACTCGTTCGTAGCGCGGAGAAGCTTGCGTGGAGATACAATAATGAATTTAAGTATATGTCCTATGACAATAAATTCATATATTTCAAAGCAATTTCAAAATATTTCAAGGATATTAAAAATACTGTTTTTATAATTCAAAGCAATAATTATCCAGGTGATATTATTTTTAACTGCTCCTTTTTTCATGTCGTTCTACATATCTTATCCGAATGTTGTAGAAGTATTCTACATTCTAGAGTAAACACTTGCAGAGTTATGCTATTGCTACAATATACAATGTGATGTGTGCTTACTTTTACATTATTTATTCGTTTATACTTATATAGAGATGCAACGCGCGTTATCGGAGATACATAATCACACTTTTTCAAAAATATTGGATAACGATTGCTTGGGTATTAACTATATCAGTGTATATCAATATTTAATAATAGTCGAACTTAGATAGAATAGCAGAACCTTTTAGCACTTTGACACCCGTTGATAAATTTAATTAAGTCGACATTTTAGCTGTGATATGAATTAGAATTCATCGAACTAAACCTGCGTTGAGATAATTATATTGTAGTTTTGAGTTTGTTCGCGTCGCGTATGCTTCCTAAATTTTCTGCGAGATTTAAAGCGCGACAAATATACAAAGACTATACGGGACTTTTATATAAAGTGCACGCGACGCAAACAAATAATATTGATAGACTTTGCGTAAGAGAATTGCTCGTTTCACATCTTGTTGATTTATATATTATATAGGTGTTATTCCTCATGAAAAATTTGTATTCGCTAACGTAACCAGTATTAAGTTATTTTTACACGACACTTTTGGATCATTCAGTCCCCATGAGTGTTTGCGCTGTCGTCGGTGCTTTCCGATATTGTACAAGCGCTCCTTCAGAAATAAAAGTGTTCGTCACACGATGCTCGCTGTTGTCAATAACTCGCGAGGCGATCGGTCCTCTAAAAAAGAAAAAGTTGTCTAAAGTAACGTATGGCGCCAACACTTACGCCTTAAATTGCGCGTACGTGCCCGCACGTATATATGGCACCTGTATGGCACTTCCAAACGAAATATCCTCTGTGAGAACAATTAACGATTGTATGCTTATCGTTTTAGGTTTCAGAAGGCTAAATAACGTTTGTGTACTATTTAGCGTACTATAATCATATCCGGCATTAAAAATACCAATATATATACATATATACCTTATGTGCTCATGGAACTCTCACAGAACAGCATATGTTGAACATAACAGCATGCTGCTAAGCGTACAAACGCTATAGCGTTAATTTGAAATCTCCTTATGGAATATAGCATAACTGATTGAAAAATGAATTAAAATCTCTTCCTTCCATTCAAACGCGCTTTGATTGCAAAATTTGCCCGGTCTCTTACATAAACAGTCACACAAGTCGACCGCGTGTCTCGTTTTATTATCATTGTAATTAATTCTAATGTATACGATCTTTTTCGTGTATTGTCTTGAGACTGGCTTTGGCGAAGTATTTTTTATTTACATCTTTTTGCTAGAAAATTAAATTCTATAATCTTTGTTTTTTTTTTTCTCTAGAATCCCTTTACAGAAAACTTTATTCTTTGGAAAAAAATTCTAGAAAAAAAATGAAGATCAGAATTCATAATATATCAGAATAGATTTATAATGTATTATATCAGAACACAACTGCAAAAGTAGCATTGATACGTTCGTCATTGTAACAGTAACGTGACAATATATAGAGCCTTCGGACTCGGCGAGTTTATTCGTATAACTTCTCACCTCTCGGAACCGGATCAAAATTTTATTTTATATCTATATATTAAGTTCTGGTGTATACATGTATACATATATACATGTGGGTTACACCAACTTACATCGTACCAGGACCTTTTTGTTTACGCCCTCGCGAGCGTCAAGGCCAACCGCTATCACCTCGATATTACAGTAGTTCTATCGTCAATTTAGCACTTAAGTGGCGTTTAGCGGAGACAATTTATATATCGGTGAAGTATGTAACATGCCGTACATATTCGAATTCCTAAATTTCACGTAATTTTTTTGCGATTTCTCGCAAAAATGAAATTTCAAAGAAAATCGCTAAGGGCCGGTCTACAATCGGTCGTATGTCGGAGTCGGATGTCGGAACGTAGCCGATGCGGTCCGATGAGGAAAATTCGTTTTCGAAAAAGAAATTCTCTCCTTGGACCATCGATCGCGTTCCGAAATCCGACTGCAAAGAACTGGCCTAAGAAAGAAAGATCGTTTTGGAGGATATCCGGCGGGGCGACTCCGCTGACGCAAATCGAAAACGACGAAGGAGACTGGCTGTGACGGATATACGCCGATCTGAAATTGAAATCGTAAGGGAGAACAGTACGCTCTTGCGTAAGTGTCATTGGCACATTATGATCGATAGCCGGAACGATACTCCAAGTATGTGGGCGTTGGCACCTCGTCGCCTTCGAATTCCATTTCGTTTCTCTCGGCCTCTCCCGGCTCGGCTCGAAATCCCCAACGGGGATGCGAAACGACGCGTATTTTTCCCTTTTTTTGTTCTTTTGTTCATCGGAACGACAAAAAACGGGTATGATATCCGCCTGTCGCGCTCGCCGATTCGCCGCGGTGCGATTCATTCGGGGGTGGAGAGGGGCGGAGGGAACGTAAAACTACGCCCGCGTGCGCGATAATAACGCGAATTTATCGCGACCGTTACGCGTGCATAATCACGCGTGAATCATGGAATTGTCGCGCGAGAGTGCCCAGCGCTCCCCGTGAGTTGCGAAACCGCACGATCGATATATGACCGGTCGTGTGCGTCACGTGCGGATCATTTTTTTTCCCTTTCCTCTAATAACGCGGTCTTTCGGTTCCGGTTTGGATTTGCCGCACGACCTTGTAAAAAATTAAGGATGCAACGTATGTCTCTTTAATTAATACTGACCGTAACCCTTTGCGTCCAAAATTAATCTTTGCGGGTGAGCGCGAGGGTCGAGTGTGTCCCGTCCTCAATTTAATCTAATCAGCGGATCGAACGCAACGATGTATCTTTATTATTTGGAGGACTTTATATGGAGAGTTTCTAAAAATGTAGTTTATATAATATAGGTATGCCAATATCGGGATTATATTGCGAAATATTATGTTCAACTCGACGTAGGATCGCAAAAGATTATAAAAATTGTTCTATTATTCCTTTTTTTTATAAGATTTGACAAGATTTGCAATGAAAAATACTCTTCGAAGAATTTTCCATATTTACTTTGTGTGGCAAGATAATTATAAATTATAAATAATAACGGTGAATAATGAAGAGGTTCATTATATAAAAATGGAAGTAGAATGCAAATAGACAGAGACCACGTACGATAGGTAAAGTCTTGGAAATTAAAGAAATTGATCTTTGTTATCCGTCTATTGTCTATTTCCATGCAAATTATCTTTAATCTCGGTTTAATTCTCATCTTTTTCTAAGAATTTACAAATAAACCGAGATTAAAATCAATCTATGTTGGTAGAAATGGACATAAATCGTTATAATCGTCTTCTTACGAAGTAAACATGGAAAATTCGTCAAAAAGTATTTTTTATCGCGAGTCTCGTCAGATTAAAAGCGTAGACTTTCCACTTAAAGTCGATGAAGGCACTTTATGATCGAAGATATATTTGCGTTACAGCAAAGTCGCCGAGATCTTCTCCTATCTCGTTTTAATCGAGACGTGCTTTGGATGATCAATCGATCACGTGTATCTCTCATCGTTACACATAGAAACAGAAAGGAGATCGCGCGTGCACACTCGGATCTCCCGCGGAGGCTTCCCTCTCTCAGAGGTAAGGAAAGGTGTCGCCTGTGCCAGCATTTGCATATGGTTCATTGTTGGTTGCACAACAATGAACTCTATAACGAGGATAAGCGTGCACGGGCCTGTGCGCGCCAGGTATTCGATTCCCTTTCAGTCCTTTCTTCTTTAGCTTTATATACCGATATGTGAGCACGTGTCGTTAAATCGATTTATGGCTTCGTACTCATTCCCATTCCTCTGCACGTGTCTGCACAAATATTTTTTAAAGCAAATACCCCGCGCCAAATTGATCGTACAAATTGGAATAACTTGCAGGGCATCTCGGGATTACGATGCCCAGTTATTGTTGCGTCTCAAATTTTCGCGTATCTTTATTTTGTGCGTCAAGATTATTTTTCCAACAATATATAAGTCGATATATGAATCAATGCCAATTATAGCGGTGTTTCGCACGAATAATGCAGAAGCGCAAATCCTCTAATGATGTCAAGATTACCGCCATTACGTAATATTGTACATACACTCTGGAGAGGCAAATAGAGAGAAAAACGTTAGTTGCGCAATTTCAAATTAAATCACGCCCGAGGAGTGGCGCGGGGTCCGGTCCGACACGCGGGATTCCACGTCTCGAGTGTCGTAGAAAGAGAAAAAAAAGAGAGAGAAAAGTGCCCGGGTAAGAACGATCATTTTCCCATTTAAGGTTTCCTACGACCATTTGCATTTATTGCACCGCGTGACGCATATACGATCGCGCCTTACCAAGAAACGTTGAATCGCGGATTCGCCCCGGAAGAGCGAGCGTGACTTGTGTCCTATTTATATTCGAGATCTTATGCCTATCTAATGCGATGGAAACTGGAGACGCGCAACGCGTTTTTCGCGTCACTCTGTTTGCTTTACAACCATTTCTACAAATAATTAACTTTAATCTTGATTTAACTTAATTTATATATATTTATATTTATATAGATATAAATCTATATATATATTTTTTTTAATTCTTAAACCCAGAAGAAAATAAAAAATAAGTTAAATCAAACTAAAGTTAATCTACATTGGTAAAAATGGACATTGCATGGACGTTTCTTTAGAGATCTCGGGACAAGCGATGAAAAACTCGGTCGGCCGAATTGACCGGTTATTATACCCTATTTGGATTTTAACTTGGAATATTTCATGCAGCGCATCACAAAAGATGCTGCTCCTCCTTTCATCTCCTCTCAGACAGCTGTGCTCTCTGAAACGTCCTCTCTCTCCCGGCGCGCGCTCTGCCTTTCATTTCAGTTCTCACGAAGCGATCGGACTGTGCGCCGCGATTGGAACCTTTTCGGAATCCTTCCTTCTTTTTTACCATTTCTTTTTTCCTGGATCCTCGCATTCCTCGCATCCATCTGTCCTTTCGCCGCAAATGCCATTGTATAGGGCGCGCATACGTTTGGCTAACATTCAAAGCTTGCAGTAAGAGGAAATCAGATTTTAAGTATAATAAATAATTAATTAAAGTTCTCGCTCTGTTCTTTCTCTTGTAATAGAAAATATTTTCAAAATGCTTTTATCTCTCTCTCTTTATTTGTATAACTTTCTTTGTGCCTTCCACTATACGGATCAAATTAAATCTGTTACTTTCTAAACGAAGAAAAATCGAAATCAAAATTATTTTGCAAAATTTCTCTTCACGTGGTACTTTCAACCGGACGCTATATGAAACGTGTAGAGAAAAAAGTCACGCGTATATTAGGATTAACAGGTGTCGATCTTTCGACGACGCCGATATTAATGAAAGGATTGCAAATCGCGATTTGCAAGTACAATCGCTCGATCGTTAAGTCAACCGATTCACCTCGTTCCTCGACAACTGAAAGAGTTATTGAGCACGCGGGCGAGTTTTTTTGTTTTACCGGAAATAAGGCTGCCAGGAGAAACGCGCGGGACAAAAGAGGAACCCATCCGCCGTTAATGGAAAGCGAGGGGAACGCGCCGAAAAAGAAAAGAAATGTTAAACGAGCGACTATCGAGCGGGAATCGAAGGTACATACGGGTACAGATCGCGAAATTGAAGGTAGGGAGAGAGGGCACACGCCGCGGGGGACAATCCCGGGAAGGGATATATACGCGTGGCGTAAAAGTAACAGCGCGCCCACCGTGTTTCTACACACGCGATCGAGGGACACTTGACGCTTTATTCCCGTTTCTTCTCTCGTGTGTGTATAGCTGCCGGTTTAAAAAGTCCTCTCCTTCAGTCGCCGTTCGCCAACGCGACGGTATCGCACCATCTCGTCTCTCGTCGCGCGCTGCGCCGCGATCGTTCCTCATCTCCGCGAGCGAGCGCGCGCTCGCGCGCGGGTGATCTTTCTTGATCGCCGATTTTTTTTCCGATCGTAATCGCGGTGCTCCAGATCCGTTTCTTCGCAAAGGTGAAAGTGAGAACCGAGTCGAATGGATCTTTAATACATATTCATTACGGGCTAAATATCGCGGACTGAGATAGTCGGGTGTGCGGTGTGTTGCGTGCGCGATGTGAATATCGCAAAGTTAACGTTCCAGGTAAGATCGTAACGTCTCGTTCGCGGAGGATATACGCGGAAATCTCTACGGTTCTATGGTGTCTTCGCGCTCGCCCGCGTGCCCATTTGCATAGGTCAGATTAATTGTATCTACGACCGACCCGTGACGTTGCGCATCTCGGAAAACGGTCTTTCGTAATCGCGGTCGTCCTTGCGCGCGGCATAAAGAGACCGTGCTTAATGCGTGCGCGCGATGGGAAAGATCGCGCGTACCTGTAAACCGAAGCACGTGGCCACGCCGAATCCGATTTTTCGCCGAGATTAATCGTCGGCTCGATGTTTCACGGCAAGTAACGCGTCCCCCGATCACGCGAGTCGTCACTTTGCAAATCAGTCGCTGACACTCTCTTTCGCTCTCTCCCTTCTTTTTCTCTCTTTTTATTCCGTTGTTAATTTGCTCAATCTGAAATATCGATATTACCATAGTCCACCGTGAACGGGCGAGTGCATTGCGGAAGGAAAGAGGCCGTTGTGAAATTTTCATATATAGAGACCACGTCCATTTCACGCCGGTCTCGGGCGTATATTTCGTAAAAAATAGAGAGTGATCTCGACGCAGGTAGGATGGTCCTGCTTTTACCTTTAGTGAAAACCGTTTTGCATATTCGATTGGAAAGACGGTAATCCGGTGGGCGAAAGTGACGAGCGGCGCCCAAACTCGTTCGACTTTCCAAATAAATTTACGTCGAGACTCGGCGTGTCGCGTTGGCGTAACAATTACCGAGTTCTCTTTTCTTCCTCTTTCCGCGTCGCAATTGATATCCGCTCGTTTAGCTGCATGCATGCGCTCTTGTGTCTCTCACATTTTAGATAAGATAGCCTTACATCGAGGAGAAAAGGAGTAAAGACACGAAATACGTACGGAAACTATGAATAAACTTTTCACATGTGATTGCGATTCAATTCTCGCTTTTTGCCTTTTCGCCTCGTTCGCGAATCGCGTCACGTTTGCGATCGCCAGACGGTTTTCGATCGCGTGATACGTATCAATAAGTGACATAATTCATTATAGCGCGGCAGACATTAGGAGCGCTCTTTTCTTCCAGCTCGCTTATTTTTTAAACACATCACGATTTTTGCTTCGCGACAAATTTTCGAACTTGCGCGAACGTCTTGCACGTATCAACGTTTGTGTACATACCTCCGCGTCGCTTATGATCCGGGACGCGGAGCACTTTCTACAAACGGATGACTCAACGAATGAGAGTTCGTTATTCTCCCTTCGTACGGGCAGGTATAGCGTACCCGAGAACGTGATCGCGATCCGAGTTAACGATTGCCACAGATTATTCCTCGAAACGATAAATATGTGGAGAATCGGCGAGACAGTCCCAACATACTATTTTAGTTGCTGTTTTTAATCGGTGATGCCGATGATTAGGATTCAAGATTTTTTTTTTAGATCGACTCGGTGATGAACTTGGTAACGAAATTTTATCATCGATGAAAGTAAAATACACACCTTAATCGCGTGACTCTTCCTTTCACCAACATGGTACAATATTACGCTGTTAAATATTAAAGGATGAAATTTAAACCAATACCTTGAATTAAATAACATTTTGATTATTTTTAATTATTATGTGTGTTGAAATTTATTATTTCAATTTTTTAACACAGAACAGTATTACTTTAACTTCATTGATTTAGTTAAACTAACGACATATTTACGACCTATATGGAATGGTTAAAAATTACTTATGTCTTTTAAATACTTAAAATTGACTATAATTTGACACTACGAATTTAACGGTGTGCGATTCCTTCGATTTTCAGTCCAATCTCGTTGCGCGTCGCGAGAGATACAAATCGAAGAACAGTGATCTTGATCAATCGATATCTCCAGATCCTTTCTCTGATTAATCATGCGGGCGCATGGGCATCGTTGACCGAAAAGGAGACAGATCGGATCCGCCCCCTGAAAAGTAATCTAAATACGGTGAACGCACGACCGGCGCAACCAGGAAGCGGAAACCCGCGATATGATCGCGTCGACGAGAGTGTCCTTGCTCTGCATGATTTCGGTTCCCTCGTGACAAACGAGTCCTTGGAGCCGGGCGCTACCTTGCGAAGTCGTCAATGACTCGATCATGATCTCCGTGACGAGGAAACGTGTCCGGTCTTACGGATCAAGCTAACCGTCACCCGAGAGGTGTCACCGTGAGGCCACCCGAGAAAAAAAAACTCCCCGTCCGCGCGAGCCAAGGACGAATTCGGATTCCGAGGGGTGAATCTGGGAGAATCTCCCCGAATGCGAGAGAAATGGCGTTGGCGAATTTCAGTTTACCCTATCAGTCGGTGACGATGGCGCCGTTCCTTTACGCGGGTTCGACCGGGGGCCACACGACCCCCAACAACCTTCGTTTGAACGCCGTGCTGCCACCGGGATCTGCGCCCAGTTACAACGAACGGGAAAGCTTTCATAACGAACCCTATACACCACCGATCAAGTATCATCAGCATCGACGTAGTCAGTCCACGCAGCAGAGGAACCATGAGGTTTACGCGGAACACACGTCCTTCTCGTCGCAGGACACTCGTTATGCTGTATATAATCAGGATTTTAGACGAACTCAACCGAGACAGCAGCAGCAACAGCAGCAGCAGCAGCAGCATCAGCAGCATCAGCAACAGCAGCAACAGATGAGACCACCTCCGCCCCCTTCGTCGTTTCAGCATCAGCGTTCGCCTGAACCCATAAAAACTCGGATAGAGGAGCAGGAAAATTATCCAGAAAGACCTATCGGGTAAATAGGGATCTTTTTTTTCTCTTTCTCATAACACAACGTTAACGAACAAAATATCGTGTATGCCTTCTTCTATCCAAAATTCTAAATCGACTATATTTATTGAATTTCTTCCTTTGCAAATATTTCAATCGAGTTCAACGGCAGCTTGTATCTGTAGATGAGATAATTCTTTGCGCGTGAATCGAGGACACTCCGTGCTATGCTCAGTTTAATTTGCCTATAAAGTTACACGAGGGTCAACGGCGGGAGCTCCGTTGGTCCGGGCACCAAGACCTCGGTCCACGCCGTGTTGGACTACGACGACGATTTCGACGACTATTACGACGAGGAGGATCAAAACATACCGACGAACGCGCACGTCACGCCTATCCAGGGCCCGATCTTCCTGAAGAACGGCACCGTGCCCGTGGTACCCCTGTACTCGTATCCCCAGCTGAACAACGGAACGTTCGTGCAGATACCGGTGAGTGTCGTCGAGCAAGAAATCGTTCCCCGAATCGTTTTCCTGAATATATCGAGGACGACGCGACCGTGGCTTCGGGAAAGCCTCAAAGTCTAATAGCAGCACGTGACATTTCAGACCGCGGCATCCATGACCCCGGGGAGTACCTTCGCTAGAATCGTGCATGCGCGCACCGCGGTTACACAGTCCCAACGCGCGAATCTCTTTTACCTCTCTTGTTCCCATCTCCTCGTTCAACGTCGTCCGGCGTTCATTCGCGCGACGACGACCTCCTCGCGAGATTGCGCGAGGTCGTGAAGGAGTTGATGTTAGATGTCAAACTGACATTGAGACGCGGCGAATCCTCAACTGCGATGTATCATCGAGCAACGACTCTGATGGTTCCTTTTCTTCGACTGGAACACACATATAACACTGCACATAACACTGCACAAAAAGTGGAATATATATTATAAATCTAGAAAGAATTTATAGTAGATATATATTTTCTTGTAAAGAAGAGTATACTGTACATTATAATGTAAATATATGCATAGTATACTGTATATAAATTATTGAGTCCCTGAGAGCGAAAAAGAGCTACATGTTTTTTGAGAAATCTGACCTTTTTTTACCTCATATATTTAACGGAACGAATTATCACGAGGGCAATCCGGTTTTTCTAGTCTAACCCATAGAAAATGAATCTTGATTCGCAACACTACAGATAGCTTTTTACGAACGAATTAGTAATTTGTGACTTTACATTGAAAAGTAAATTTTTGCGCTCATGCAGCGCTATATAATTATATATAGTAATTTCTCCATTATATCTATTTTTACCTCTGTTTCTCTTTATTAGCTCTGTCATAACGATCGATTAGTAAATAATCGCAACTCATTGTTACGATTAAATCGTAATTACTTACTCGACTTAAGAAACTATCCATCTATTCGAAAGAGGTATATCTAGAATTTTTTATCTCTCAAAACGGAAAAAAAAATTTATTAATGTTTAGAAAGCTTGCCTTATATTTTATGTATAACCTTGTTCTGGACAAGTTATCGAGTCATCACGGTAGTGCTAAATGTATGCGCCAGCGATGCACAAGCGGCGAGACCGTTCCGGTGATATAATCTATAGGTACACGATCAGCTCGATTATGAATACCTGATGAAATTATCAGATCTTATGTCAGAAACGACTGGGCCAATCAAGTTCTTCATAAGTTTAATACCTTGGATTTGAATTATACGAGAAAAAGCTTTATCTTTATATACACTTTATATTTCCTATGAGCAGAGATATATTACAACGGAAAGTCGGATTTCTATATTAATACTATAATACTATATTAATTTAATTAATAATACTATAGTAATATATTTCTCACGCTTTACTATTTTTCGTTTGAAATTATTATAAGATTTTGAGTGTTTTTAAATCTATCTTTATATGGAAAAAACACTCTAACAGCATTTGCCTCAAGCTGTATTATTTTTTCAATTAATGCATGCTCTTGGCTTTTTTATTTAAAAAAAAAAATACTTTTTGAACAGTTTTACATATTCCAGATTCAGTATTACTACTTTTTAATCAACCACCACGTTGTTCTAAGAAAACTCACAACTAATCTCTTTTTTTTTTTAAGTCGATCTTTCGGTCACTACAACTACCGTCTCGCGTTTCGTAAAGAAAGTCAAGGAGAAACGTTTGCGACCTTCGTATTTCCTTTTAGCTGTTAATTCATGTGCCGTTCTTGTATAACATCCACGTAACATAACACACAATAAGTGTACTTTCTACTCTCTCTCTCTCTCTCTCTCTCTCTCTCTCTCTCTGGTAGTATCTTCTGTTTCCAACTACCGTTCAGACACGACATTCTGAATGAAATTGCATTCACACACACATTTCAAGTGTACTCTCTCTAGTAGTATCGTATGTTTCTAGCTAACGTTCAAACACGACATTCTGAATGAAATTACATTTACATTTCAAGCATTTACATACGGAAAGCTTGACTGCAATCTAAATCTTTAAATAAATCGAATTGAGAAGCTCTTTGATCGCGTATGATCGTAAGTAAACAAACCATGCATTTGCATCATAATGTACTAATAACAGTAATGAGTAATAATAGTAATAAACGTAATGATACGTAATGACGATAATCATGAATAATCTTGATTGCTCTTTGTTTACACATAAATTCTTTTTTTTTTGCTTGTTCCTATCTATTACAGAAAAATCTTATCCAACGTTCATCAACGTTCGCGAAGGAATCGACGACGATGGACAAGGACTCGTTTCACATTTTTTCGCGGAGAGAATTGTATCTTACATAGTAACGAGTTTTCCTAACTGATTTCATCGGTCATCTATATTCTTGCCCCGTCATCCATTTTATTCAACGGGACATTATTCTAAAAATTGCCGCTCATTTGTCACATCTCTACTTTCTACGTGCCGAACGATACAAGATAACGTTAAAAAATGACGAGAGGAAGACCAGAACGCGAAGCAACTTTTATCTCGATCGTCATAAATATTCTCGCAATACGGCCTCTTAATTGGCCTTCCACTTTTCCAAATTCTATACACATTATATATATGTATAGTATTGTATATAGATTATATTTATATATAACATTAAAATATTTGAGAAATATAATTTTCTTAAATTTAAATTCGCATGCAGGTAGCACTTTGATTTAGCCTTGCTTATGCTGTATGATTCATTTCTCGTGGGCAACGCACGACGGACGTGACCACTATCAGAATTCTCCCGTATTATGAATGACGCCTACTGACTGGATGCTGACTGGAAAGTTGAATAGAGATACGAGCGTAGGCGGGCGATCTTTAATTAGCCGACATCGACTTCCGGTATACGGTGAATTAACGTGCACAATAAAAATGTTTCTCGGCGTACTTTATGTCGCCGTGACAAATATCGTCAATTATTTTATACGGACAGCAGAAAGATTCGACTCATCACAAGAGAACAGTCTTATTTGCTAAATTATCCTGCTATCAAAGCAATGACGATTTCGCTACATCAGTAAAATATATTCGCTGAAGATGGATAATTGTTTAACTTCTGCCTTGTCAAAACTTCTTAGGGTCTTTAAAGTAGCTTTTACACGTTATCTGTGCAATATACATATAATTTTTAAATAGTTGATAGATATCTATATAAGAAAAAAATTAATCCCATAACAATTAGAAAATTAACAATTTCAACAAACTGAAAATTAATTATCGTAGATACTTTGGACCGCACTTTCGGTAGCTTTGGGTGTCGAGCTGAGGGGAGACTTAATACGAGGCGCACCATGCATCAAGAGATATCATCAGTTGTTCTGTCCGACCGCTGGCAACACATATCCAATGTGCGTATAAATAATTTTATTTGTTACTTTTTTAATATGCACCCTAGAGGTATAACGTTATACCTAACTGCAGTTAAACAATTAAAACTCTCTTATTAGGGAAGGTAACTTATCGCAACGTGGCAATTGGCTGTAATGTGAATCGTAGTTTAATTAAATCGATTGTTTTTTAGAGAACGGATAGAACGTTTCATTGACGAAAATAAAGCGTTGATGAAAAGGATGTACGGTGACTTTGAGATGAGTCCGGGACACGGGTCGAGCGAGCACGGGCATCGTGCTAGAACGCGAAGGAAAAGTAGAGAAGCGCGAAAGCACGATATCCCGGACGGCGGGCCCAGAGATGATGAATCGCACGTAGAAAGCGAGATCGGCGAGGAGTATTTTAGCAGAAGTAGAAATACCAGGCAGTCCTTTGGGAAAAACCGCAGCACGGAGAGCGGCAGGTGAGAATCGAAAATCGATTTTCTGTCATTATTATCATTTTATTATATTTTACTTATATATTTTATTATATATAATATATATAATTTTATACTTTTTGTTGCTGCTGTTTGTATCTTGGCAAGATTATTATGAATACTATATCCATCATACACTTTTAATAAAGTGCAGAGTTTAGGAATGTTTTCTCTTTCTCTCTTTTTTCCGTTTCTCTTTTACTGCTGCAGCAGACTGATCAGAAATAATTAACATCGCGATAATGGTTACAGAATCGACGCGTGCGAATCGAAAGTTGAGATCGTGACTCCTTACTGGGCAAGCAACAGTGCCGGAAAGATTCGCGCCATCGTGAATACCCAGCATTTCGAGCAAGCGATACACCAGGAAGTGTGCTCGTGAGTAAAACGACATTGCTTATTCCGGCGCTCCACTCATCTCAATTGTTTTACACGATTCTTCATACCTACGGATTCTTATAAAATAAGCACAGTAGACACTGTATTTTCTTTCTGCAGGAAAACGCAAACGAATCGGTGCAGCGGGGACTGCGGGTGCGAGCAGAAGTACAAGTGGCACAGGTTGCTCGCGTACGACCCGGACAACGATTGCAAGGGTATATTCATGGACTGGTTCCTGTTTCCCTCCTGCTGCGTATGTCGATGCGATCCTATCAACAGCGGCAAGTTCTCCTCATCAAATGCCCGAAACTGAGGCCGGAAAGTGACACAGAGATTGACACGCTACGTAAAACGTGCCAAGTGAACTCTTAAAAACGGTTTATTCATTCTCAACCCATTTAGACGATTATCATAAGGACTGTTGACAGTAACCTGTGATAAGAAAAGTGCGCATAGGTATAGGCACGATTTGCGCATCGGCCAATTTAAGCGTCCCACCATTTCGATTTTTAAAAATTAGAGACTTTTATATAGCGCAACTTTTAAAGGTTGAAGAATGATATGTATCAATTGACAATTCTTTGCTGATAAATTAATCAAATTATCGACGAATTGATGATAAGAAATATTAGCTCGTCAACGAGGTATCGCTCCTTTCTATTCTTCTTCTCAAATATGTACGATTTAATTGTTTAATCATGTCCTTTTCTACGTCTCGCGATTTTTTTGCTTTTCTTTGCTTCGTTATAGTACAATCTATTAAGTCGTTGCTATTTTCTCGATTCATTAAAATTGTTACTATCTATTAAAATTGGTCGAAGTCCAACTGCGCTTGTAATATCAACGCCATTTGTTAAAACAAGAAACTGCTATATTGCATAGCAGAACCGTTATCATACGTTCAGACTGATCAGTTTGCTTGAAAGATTCCAGCCGATCAACGATTAATGATGTCCGTCGAAACTGAGAAATAAATTTACGCGATGGATCTAAATGTATATAGCGATAGCCGTTCAATTAAAATACCTATCTCGATATATCATAACACAGTAATAAAGCTATACATCAGTATAATATCTCGATAACGACATGTGGTATAAATATATGATTTATTTGACCGATGCATCTGAGCGATCCTTCAAACCACGAAATCAGCCAATAAATCGCGCGTGTAGACCTATCTAATGGAAGAAAATGATGTATCGGACGAGAGATTGAATTGAACACAGTTTCGCATCAATCTTTGGATAACAGATTTGAATCAAATAGCATAGTACGTAGCGCAGAACCATTTTCGTGATTCAGATTTTATTTGTGTAAGTAGAAAATAAATGTTACCGTTTATAGGCTCTTTCTAATAATTGTCGATTATAACTACAATAAATAGCTGCAATAATCATTAGGCAGCGTTTAGTCCGTAAGTATAAGCGTCGCGCGCGCACAAAACGTTTTATCTTACTTCGTGGACATTGTACGTACGGCTGCACGGCTCTTCAAACGGTTGTGAAACGCGAATGCATGAGCGTGGGCTGGAATAGGTCCTAAGAATAACTTCCTCTTAGGACTTATTGCGCGCCGTAGAGTACATAACTGCCTTAAAAATAATTAATTTTTAATTTTTAGTTTTTAATGTTGCGTTAAACGATTACACTTTAATTAAGGCAAGCATACAATCCTCTGCGTGAAAGGAAGATACATGCAAGATCTATGAATCTAAAAGTAAGAATGAGGGAAAGAATATTATTGTATGTAAAAAAGATATTATATGAAAAAAGATATGTGCAAAAATGATTCAGACAAAAGTTGGAGGGACAAATAATGGTAAAATCCACTTTCGAAAAAATTGATTTTACAAAGTAATAGAAGCCTTTTTTAAATAAAATTATATGATTTTTTTACATAATATTATTCTTCTAATTATTCTACATAAACAATTATTACAGTTATCAGAAAGTCAATATAGTTTACGAAATATCTTATATCTTATTCTAACATTTTGACATAAAATTTCTTGTAAACAATTCATTTTGTTGCCCTTCGAAAATATATGTAATGATTTGTTCCCCTCCACACAACTTTTGTCTGAAACATCTTTGCCTGCCGGACTCATTTTTCAAAATATTCCGGTGTTTTCTTTTAGGTGCCCCACCCTATATATACATATATATACATATAGTTAATGTGTGTTGACACCGTCAACCCTTTGAGAACATATTTATTTATTATTCTAATCGTTGGACGGATACCTGATAAGCTCTTTTACCTACTCTCCTTCGCTCTTAACTACTTAAGATATTCTCGTGACAAAAAGAGAGGAAGACGTAAAAAGTAACAAGAGGAAACGCTCAAGATAATGCCTACTTAAGACGAAACAAGGTTGAACCAATGAAAACGAGACGCAATGATGATGGGTCCAATTCGTTCTACATGGCGTAATTATTACAAGCGACGGTCCGTCGTCGGAGAGCGCGCAGAGATGGTGTATATAGGGTCGAGCTGGTGCCTTCGTCTCATTACACAACTCGAACTTAAGGCTCGTTAACTTTAAAACGTTCCGAAAGAAAAGTCGGGTCTACACATGATTATGTTATGTCTTTTATTTTGTACTTACAGCAAATTCGATTGAATCAAAATATTAATTGTAAAATCCACGCGCTTTCTCGTTCGTAATTTTCGCGTTTCGCAATATCGGATTGCTCTTGAACCGGGTGAGAGAAATTACGCAAGGCTTCTTCAGCCGTGCACTTTTTTCATCGCATTCTTTCGAATCGCCATCGAGTCGGGGAAACAATTCGCGTTCGTTCACAGTGAAAGTTTGTTAGTCGTACAGATTTACAACATTAAGTATTCGTAGCTATTGTTCGAACCGCTCTTCTCCCTTTTTTTCCCTTTTACCTTTTTCTTTTTCTTTTCTCTGCTTTTCTTTTATCATTAACTATAGATTAATATCATAAGGTTAAAGAACGTATTTCGACTGGTGGAAAGTGCAGGCAAGAAGTATCATCGTGGCGACGTAGAGCAGCCTCATCGCGGAGGCATCCGTCGCGGAATTGCACAAATCGGTGCTGCAGATGTGGCAGGACTCGATTACATCACGTCCTGGCTGTGTCAGGGAGTTGCCGCACTGGCCGTTGGTGATTTCCATTTCGTCATGATACGGAGTGGAGCACTGGCGTATGATAATCCGATCGCCGTATTCTAAACACAGATTAATTGTTTAACGAGGGTGATCGGGGTTTTCGGGCCAGTTTAGAGTCCCCTTCGTGTCAGGCTCAAATTCTATTTATAGTTTCGATATAATACGACAAAACGTTTGAGAAAACAGAATATAATAAATTTTACATATCTAGTACAAAACATACATATATACATATATATGTATGTTATATACATATATGTATATATGTATGATATAAATAAATTATATCTATATACATTAATTTAATAACAATTTAGATATACGTATCAAAATAGATGACATAAAATCATAAATAAAATAAATGAAATAAAATTTTAAAATCCGCGATTTATAGATTGCCTCAACTTGAGACTTAGTTAAGAAATCGCTCGGCACAAATACACGCGGCCGCGTTTCTTTCGCGTATATATCTCGTCCGATGCATCAGAAAACGAACACGGGAACTTCTCGGAAAGTCCTTCAATAAGCGCGCAATCGTTTCGGGGTCATCTTCTCCCGTGCGCCAGCGAGCGCGGCAAAGCCAGCGTCGGATTTAATAGCGCGATTATTATTGTCGCTTACGTAATTTTTGCGTTCGTGTGGCGGTCGCGCTCGCTATTTCACGCACGCTGCCTCGTCACGCTAGAATTCCGTCGAATCGACGTAAATTCGACGTGCGCGCGGTTAGTACGTTCGATTTGCCGTGAAAAACCAACCCAATGACAGATTTAAACAACGTGTTGACAATATACGCGCGCGCACGAAACGGACAAGAGAGGCGTGTATTACCCTGGCCCGAAATTAATCAGCCCGTAATGGTGGTGGTGGTGGGCATAATGACAATTTTTTCCTCCGTAGGTGTGGCACACCGGCCTTGTTTTAACGTCCAATTATCATAGTCATTTCTATGCGCGCCCGCGGTATGACTCAATCGCGGCGCGCATATACCGTTCGCGTCGTCACAGTCTCGCGGAGAGAAAAGGATGCAACGCATTAAAAAGATGCGATTTAAAAGACGCCACTTCACAATGCGTCATCCACCCGACTAACGAGCATCTCGACGAATGTCCGGCGTAATACGCGCGACGTATTTCGCGCACGCCGAACGGAGTTTTTCTCTCGCCATCGTCACGGTCACGCGGTGGTTTCTCTTTTTTTTTCGCACTATCACGTAAATGCGTTAACAACTGAGGAACCAACACGTACACCGCGAGATGAGCAGATGTTAAAATGCGAAAAGAATCGAATGCGAGCCTCGTGAAACGTTAGCGACATCCGCGTTTTCATTGAGACTTGTTTACATTGTAAAATTGAATGACTATTGTAGTCGCCGTATAGATACACCATAAATACAATAGGAAACTTTTTTTTTAGCAAAGTTACATCATGGTATTATCTCAGACTCGGACAAACGAGTAGGGTTACTTTTACCTCGTTTGACGATTTTGCGGCAGATAGGTTTTGAGGAACCGTAAGGGCCTGGGTCGCAAGTCCTTACGTGGAACGCAGCCTGGTGATCTGTAGTGTTCATTGGGTCATTGCACATGACATTTACGTTGGACGAGCATACCCAGCATCGTAAGGCGGAACCTATTAGACACAGGATGAAAAATCCATAAGACATGATTTACTTTGCGATTTGAGTGTCGTGACGCGATATAAACACGTGTATCGTAATAGGTATATCGCGCGCGTGTAAACGTAGAAAACAATTAAATATTTACGTAGAATTGTATCTTCAAAGAATAAAAATATTTCCTTATTTTGTAATATTATAACAGCGACAGATATTTTTTTATATAGTGAGTGCAAAAAGGTGAGTTCTTGAAAATAATTATTCTTTCAAAATATTCTTTAATTCTCTCAAAATTATTCTTCATAAAATGTTATATAGGGTGAGTCATTTTAATCGACGCAGGCAAATCTCTCGAAAAATATGGATGATTCCGATGTGTTATGTCGTAAATATTGTTGTTTCCAAGAAATTTTAAAGACGACTGATTTCTTATCAAACTTGATTTTTTTTCTTTCAAATAAAAGTTGTAGATTTCGTCGAGATGTTTTTAAAAGAGTCAACAGCCGTACAGAGAGGCAATTTTATCCATTAAAACCATTTTTTGTAGCATCAACTGAAAATTTCTATGAATTTATCTAGAATCTAAATTTATCCTATTTACAAAGTTTTATTAGAATCAGGATTTTCAGGTTTGCAAATTTCCCTCAATTGTTTCTGATAATCTTTATAATTACAGATAAAATATATCAAAAACAAATAACACACACGTGTAAAATAAGTATTAAATTAATGTTAATAAAAATAGTTTCTAATTTAAAAAATTGTGACGCAAAATCCGACCCGAAAGAAATCTCAATGTTGAAAAATACATGTGCAAAACAATATTATCTTGCCTAGTAGATAACACATAACACACTGCTTCAAGACACGCGTGACAGATGTGTTTTTTATTTAAAAAAAAGAGATACCGTTCACGCTTGAGACGGATTTACATCTACAGAATGTAAATCGCGGAAACTCACGGAAATAAATCTAAATTGGAATCACAATTGAGAAGATACCTGCGCAATTCTATAAAGGAAAACAGGTGCCGGTATGATTAAGAAGTGATGTAATGCTGAGTAACCGTCAATATTAATGGTGCGCGCCAGTTTTGTACACAATCAGGTTGTCCCCATTGTAAAAATGCATTGAGGCGCGACGCAATATGTAACTTGAAAGCAAATATCACGAAATAAAAAAAGATTATATATATATATAATAATACAGCAAAAAAGATCAGGATGAGAGATATTATGATTAGATAACGATGATATCCTGTTTTTCATTTTTTGTATGTTGTTCCAATACCGACATCTTATAAACTCGCGCAAAGACTGCGAACATTATTAATTTGCATACTAATAAGTGCAAGGAAAGCAGAAATAGACAAGATTTCTAGGAAATTTTAAATTGTTGACTTGGTGCGATTATGTAACATCATAACAATCGTAATATATCATATGTAATATCTATTATAATTGTGATATCATAATTATCTTTTTTCTAATTGGCAGGCAATCAATATATTGCATTGTAAAATAAAGTATTTAAAATTAAGTAATATAAACACAAACACCACATGATTTATAACAAAAATACATACAGTTTTCCATGTAATTCTATATGATTTACGTGATTTTACACACTTTCTTTACAGTACGTGATATAATTTTGCACAAGATATATAAAATTCATTCATAAAAAAGACAAGAATAATATTTCAAGTGCTTTTTTCTTTTAATATATAATATTTATAAACGAGACGCGGAGTCCGCGGCAGAAACTTCATCATAGACTTGTAATTATTCAAAATGGCCAAAAATTCTCGGTGAATTACTCGGTGAATTACTCTTCTAAGTCTTTGTTTCACAAGAGTAATCTTTTTCAAACCTTTCCTAATAGAGTTTTCACTTGGATTAGCGCAGACTCACCCGAAGTTACGAAAAGGGCCAGCCCGAAGATGATCATCGCCGTGCGCTCGATGGAGACCATTTTGGAGATGTCGATACGTTCGTCAAAACCGCAAAATCAACTCTGTTTCTCCCCGTAGGAGCTCGTGAAGAAAATCCTTCCTCGATAATCACGACGATCGAAAACGACGGTTTGTGCTGCCGAGCGATCCGGATGGCCGTTTGGATACTGCCGATGCCAAACGTGTCCAGTACGATACTGAGGAACCAACACCCTCTTTGCCAAGAGCACTCCTCTTCCTCTCCTTCGCACATTTTCTCTCTCTTTCTCACTGCCTGTCCGCCGATCGCTACGAGGTTTCTCTCTTTCGCCTTAATGCGCGATTCCTTCTTCGAGTATATATAATTAATGCATGTAAAATGTAAATACATATACGAGGTATACTGTCAGTTTAGCAGTTTCTCGCCAACTACGTTATCCTTGAATTTATTTGTGATCGATTATCTCCTTGATGAAGATACTACGATCGCATGTGTCGAGAAACTTAAAAAAATATAAATAAATATCTCGTCAGGGGAAAATCCTCCTATTTCAATCATCCCTTTTTGCACGTCTCTAAACAATTTCCGAAATATTTAAGTCGACATTACAAAGTGTGTCCTGCCGACTCATCAAGGGAGGTCAAGGAAGCATTTAACCCTGCTGAACATTACTGACTTGACTCTGGTATTTGACCTGGACCCCTTGGTAATCGTTTCCGCGCCGTTCATTCACGTATCTGATGTATATGTGCGTGCGTTAAACGTAAAATGAAGTTTATTGTTGGAGTTACCGAGGAGGAGAACGTTGCGTACTTAGAAGTGTGTGGCTTGTTCAGCGACATTAAACTCCAACAACTAGCTGTTCCGGTTAAGCGTATCGAAATATTCGACCTCAAAACGGACTGGGAAAAAAGTTTTACATGCCTTTAACACACACACACACACACACATACACTCTAATACCTACATACAAGGTAACTGATCTAAATTACTCACTCATATCAATTTTTTGTCTTGGATACTTCAAACGAGAATCAGTTTTAATTGTTGAAAGTTGATACTGTCAATAAATAAAATAAAATAATTTTTCTTTTATGTAAATTGATTTCTAACGCAAGTAGAATGTTTCGATATGTTTATGAAATATAAAATATTTCATCAACTATTCGCTCTTCGAATTATTTTACATATTGTGCATGAAATATATACTATATCTAATAAAGTAGCTTAATACCGTGCGATCGCGAGCATCTATTTAAGATAGATAGAGCCGTCTTGGAACAATAAAACCATCTGTCATGCGGGACCTGGTCTTTTCCATATCAACAACCTTACGTCGCTAATGCCTAATCTTCCTAATTAAATCCACTTGTCCTACAGTTGTAACAGAATTAAGTAAAGGAAACGTACGTATATTTCTCATATCGGATTTCTCACCGGCGAACATATTTGACTTGTCCTACAGTTGTAACAGAATTAAGAAAAGGAAACGTACGTATATATTTCTCATATCGGATTTCTCACGAGCATATAATCATCGGCGAACATACTTCGGCTTACGTTAAAATGATCACGCCGTTGAATTAATCGTGTGACTAAGCGTAATATTCTTATTCATCTCACTGTAGCCTTATTCATCTTTTCCGGTACCCAATCTTATTTATTCATCAATTATCAAAAATCACATAATCATGCTATCACAACGATCAAGTTACTTTTTATATTTAAAAAAATTATTTGCGAGAAAGATGATAAGAAATTGCACCTGACACGATTTCCCAATTCTCTTTTAGTAATATTTCAAGGACATTTTTATTTTAAAGGATCATATATAAGTATTTTATAATTTTTTTATATTTAGCTGCATCTTAAAAACCTTTATCGGACGTTGTCGAGCAGGAATAAACATTTCGGAACTTGTAACATTATTATATATGATTACGTGTAAGTAGAATTAATTAAACTTGAGTTGAAACGTGAGTTGATTTTCACGAATAATTATTATTATCTGCGTGTCTCACGTTAGTATCCATGGCAAAATAATTGCGATAAATCCAAGACACCATTCTGACGCAGGATCGAATAATTCGTTATTGTTACAGGCGTTTTCCTTGCAGAAATAACACTCGATGTTCGAATGCGGGAAACGAATGCTGTCTCCGTAATTACAGTATTCCTTGATCTGACGCGATGACACGCAGGCTCGTACCGTTACTAAAATATTTCTATCTGCCAAAAATATCGTACGTATTTTACTTTTTTATTTCGCACAAGCTTCTCCAATTTACTGTACTTCAATTGGCGTGTAAAAAAAATAGTAATTAAGAGAGAAATTTCTCTCAGCGGTCTCAGCGATGTTTTATAATCGTACATGCGTGTGTAAATCACCAATATACGTACATAATATGATACTTTTGTGACAATGATGAGATTCGTTCCGAGGGCAAGCGACCAACTCGAAAGCACCGGGTGAGTAAGGATCGTTGCAATCTCCTCTATGTCCATGCCTTAGATCCGTATTGCAATCGTAACACCATAAATCCTGTCGTGAGTAAACCACTGAAAAAAAATTTATATATAATAAATTAAACTGTCTTCTTCTGCGCGTTTATCGATATATTGTTTAAGAAAAATAATAACAGTGAATTAGATATCTTTATTAAATGCAATTAATACGCTGTACGAGAAGCAGAGGTATCCAATACAAAACTAACAAAATTGCACGTAAAAAGCGAAGCGATAACAAAACTACGACGGAGCCTAATTTAAAATAGATAAAAATCACTTTACGCAACACGATTCTTGTGTCTTATGATCTTTTACATCACGAGTAATAAAGACATCATAAAAATTCACTTACTCGTATGCAAAAAGACAGGCAGTACAATCGCGAATGAGAGGGTTCCGATCATGTTGAAGAACGTTCCTCGGAAGAGAAAGAGGTTTCTTAAAATACGCTCCTCGCGAGATATCTTATCTATGATAATCAAAGGGACGTCGCGACGAGGGGCATGCCGTTAGCAGCGCATAATGATGCGAAACGCGTGAATTATTTATATATCTTTGCGGGGCAAATTAACAATATTTTTTTTTTTAAGACGTTAAGTTTTCACGCCTCAAATTTTTAGTAGTTTTCTTTTTGGAATCCTTGAAATGGTAATTCTTGTAATTTTTTAATTAGTATGTCATCTGTTATTCAATTATATTTTAATACTTTGTGGTTTTTTTTTCAAGATTTCATGATTTTTTACGATGTGAAATTGCTAATTCTCGAGATGGCAACGCTTGAAACTTTATAAAACATTCTTTATAGACTTTCAAATAATAAAATATCCTTTACCAATTACATTCTCCTTGATAATTCGTCCATTTTCGAGATCCTTGATTTCCGTTGATTTAAAATTCCCAATTCTCAAAATTGTCTATCTCGCTTATGATTTATTTGAGGTGCTTTCCATCTAACTGACACAAGTCGACACGAGTCTCGTTCTGTCTTTGTTGCTCATTGAATGCCAAGAAAGATAGAACGACGTTTGTGTCGACTTACGTGTCAATTAGTGCGGTCCACCCCTTGACGCTACAAATGCTTCGAAGCATTCCTCTTCTCATTTCTCTCAACGAAGAAAGAAGGAGAAAAAGAACGCTCCGAAGCATTTGTTGTAGCGTCAAGTGGGACCGCAGCCCAAACGGAAAGCACCCTTGGATCCTCGAGTCGTTTTTTTATAACTGCACACGTACCGCCGATCGATAATTTAATTGGTATCGGTATCGGTAACGCAGCTTTCTTATTTTTAGGCAGCCGATAAAGTAGGTCACTTGTAAATCGTACGTGTCGGATCGTTTAAAACCCACGTGTCACAAGAGGTTATCACGCTTCTAATATATTATCGAAATAATGTTTTATAGTTACATTTAAATTGACACTCTAGAAAAATACATTTGTTACGCGTTGAAAGTATACGGCTATCCACATGGATGCGTTACAGCTAAGAAATGTACGTATCTTTGGCACGACTTGACTGTTCGTCTAAACGTAACCCAATATTCCACGTTGTCTGCATAAAGATTTTTGTTATAAATAATAATTGTCGCACGTTAATCGTTGAACGATGAGACTGTGATAAATCTATTTTCCACAGTTTAAGGATTTTCTTCTGCTCTACAACCAGATATCTGAGATGTGTTTCAAGAAATGTGCGAACACTTTTCTCTCTCGAGAAATTACCCCCGACGAAGTAAGTATCATTATGAAGGAACATCAGACAATGGGTTTGTTTTCTATTGCTGAATTGGCCGCGCTAGTTCAGAGTTAATCTTT